CTAAGAGCCAGAGACTCCTTAACAGCCAACTCATCAGACCGCCTGGAAAGTAATCTGTTATCTTTGGGAGTGACAAGGTTCCGGGCCACCACCGCAGCGGTCATATCATTCTTCATCACCGAATCCCCAACGGTAAGAGGACTAGTAGGGGATATGAAGGATGGGCGCCATATGTTATCTGGAGAAGACGGGATTACCTCTTCACCAAGGTTCAAATCAAAACGACGGTCGGAGGGTCCAGACATTTTCAAAGGTGTTGAAGAAAGAAGAGGTCGGACAAATCAAGACCTTAGAAGTGCAAGAAGGGAGTTTCTACAAGCGAAAATTCAAGTGTGCTTTGAAACGAACTGCGTGCCTCTATAAAAAAATCAGCACTCGACGGGATTTCAGAGATCGAAGAGGTGAGCTCAGAGTTCGAAAATGCCGATTCAAAAATCAAAGAGGCAAGCTCAGAAATCGGAGAAGCATCTTGCTTTTTCAGACGCGTTAGCACCCATCACACGCAAACTCAGCTTTGCGGAAATCACGGGCAATTTGTTAAAGCGCCAATCCCAGATATCGAAGAGGCGCTAGTCTTTTTCAGCCTCGTCAGCACCCATCACGCACAAACTCAGCTTTGCGGAAATCACGGGCAATTCGTCGAAGCGCCGATCCTAGTTATCGAAGAGGCGCCAGTCTTTTTCAGCCTCGTCAACACCTATCATATGCACACTCAGCTTGACGAAAATTACGGACAATTTGTCGAAGATTTCTGATAAAGAAGAAATCACGTGAAGCCATACTAATCAATCATGCATTGGTTGCCGACACGAGTAAAAGAATAGTACCTCTACAGGTACTAAAGAAATTCCTATAATTGTCCACCTTCACCCTTCATAGCAAGGCAGACATACATAACCTTTCTTCATCTTCGAGAATGCCTTCCCAACGAAGCCTCTTGAGTCACTCAGTGTTTCTTATTCCTTGGGGTACCTCTGCAAACAAATGACACCAAAGTAAAAGTATCTCATATCATCAGGGTAGAAAGCAAGAGTATCTCATATCATGCATTCTCCCTGTCCTTTCCTTTGTCCTTGTTCTTACCTACAAAGACAAGGATAAAGAAAACAATATGCCGGAACCTCCACTCAAACTCGGATGCCACATTTGCCTGGAGAACAGATAAGGCAAGTGAAAATGATACCTTGCAGCATGTGGAGACAACGTGCAGAAGAAACAAGCAGAGAAGAATGCAGTCTTCACAGTCAGCTCAGCAGAAGGAGTCTGAGCTGAGGAACTCAAGAAGTTGCCACATCTGCCTGAAGAAACAAGCAGAGAAGAATGCAGCCTGCACAGTCAGCTTAGCAGAAGGAGTCTGAGCTGAAGAACTCGAGAAGATGCTACATTCTGCCAGAAGAATAGATAAGACAAGGGAAAATGATACATTGAAGCATCTGGAGACAAGCATAACAAAGCACATCTGGAGACAAGCATAACAAAGCACGTGCCGATTCATCCGATACTTCTTCAAAATCAAAAGTATCTCATATCATTAGGTTTGCAATCACTCTAGACAGTGAACTCGTTTTGACCCTCAAATTCTTGGGTCGACTTACTAGGCATTGTGAGCTGCACATGCCGATTCACCGCCCTTGAATCAAATCCTTAAAGATCAAGTCACCAACTGGAAGAAGAGCCCATCAATCTTGAAGATCATACCGTTGACCAAACTGCTCAGGTGTGAATTAGAAAGATTGAACAAAGCAACAAGTCGTCACCTCCACCTCGTGCCTGTTTGCCATGTGCTCGAGTCAACCTTCAAGAATCAAGCCTTAACGGCCCTTGAAGAAGCTTCCAGCCAAATTCAAGATCAAGCCTCGACGACCCTTGAGGAAATCACAAGTCCGATTCAAGATCAAGTGTCTACCACCCTTGAATCAAATCCAGTTCAAGAATAAGCTGTGGAAAGTCAACAATTAGAGGAAACCAGAAAATCCTCCAACCCAGTTCAAGAATAAGCTGTGGAAAGTCAACAATTGGAGGAATCCAGAAAGTCCTCCAATCCAGTTCAAGATCAAAGCTGTGGAAAGTCAACAAGTGCAACAAAATATGTGCCGATTCATCCACTACCAAAGCCAAGGATCACCTACCACATGAAACTCCTTGTGGTCTAATTTCAACCTTCAAGATCAAGCCTCGACGGCCCTTGAAGAAATCTCAAGACCAATTCAAGATCAAGCCTCAACGGCCTTTGAAGAAATCTTCAGCCCAATTCAAGATCAAGCTTCGATGGCCCTTGGATCGACATCTACAATAAGGGACTTCAAAATGCATCTCCTACACATGAAAGCACATGTATACGACGTGCCTTCAAGTGGGGGCATTTGTAGACATCGAAATTTCGGTAAATAAATGTTGACCGATAAATCAAAGTTTCAACGCTCATGTATTACATAAATTTTACACGTAGCGTGTGTATAAACAAAAAATCGAAATAAGTTGGAAAAGTCATCAAACAGGACACGTGTCAACACCTGGCAGAAACGACTTATTTCATCTGGAATATTATATTCAAAATTAGGCCTTGGAAAATTCTATAAATAGAAGGCTAATTCATTCATTTAAGGGGGGAATTCATATTACACCTTGAAGCTTTGAAGCTCTGAAACTCCGAAGCTCTCAAGCAAATCCCGAAGGATCAAGAAAACCCCTTTTCGTTCTTCATCAAATCCTCCTTCAAGATCAAGCCCTGACGGCCCTTGAAGAAAGTGTTCTTCATTCTTCGTTCTTCGTTCTTCGTTCATCATTCTTCCAAGATCAAGCCCCGACGGCCCCTTGGACCAACAGTCATCCACCTTCAAGATCAAGCCCCGCCGGCCCCTTGAAGAACTTCCACCAAATTCAAGATCAAGCCCCGACGGCCCTTGAAGAAAGTGTTCTTCGTTCTTCGTTCTTCGTTCATCGTTCTTCTAAGATCAAGCCCCGACGACCCCTTGGATCAACAACATCAACAAATCCACACGTCCAACCGTTCTTCAAGATCAAGCCCAAAAGCCCTTGGAGATCCGTTCATCATTGTTCTTCAAAGATCAAGCCCAAAAGCCCCTTTGAAGATCCGCTCAAATCCACCTTCAAGATCAAGTCCACGGCCCTTGAAGAACGTTCATCCTTAGATCAAGCCCAACGGCCCTTTGGATCAATCGCACATCCACAAATCAACACCTTACGGAGATTGAATCAGAGGATCAAATTTGAGAGAGATTGTAACCCAAAATCATCAAATACAAATATTTGTTTGTGCATGTTGTTCTTGTCTCTTTCGTTTCAGGAATTTTCCGTGTTCACAATCATATTGCGTATAACTATATTATAATAAAATTTTCTTAGTTGTTTTCGATTGCCCCTACTGGAAGAAATTTCTGGCTTCGTCCCTGGCCATGGTGATAATCTATAATTTTGTTATATATATTTACCTTATGTATATAATTTTTTAGAATTAGCAGAGTTATTGCACAGCTCGATCATCCTTGTTGCTAGGTTTGAGCGACGACACCATCTTCAAGAGAACCCTTTTGTGCCGATGGGCCAACTAGTTGGCGGAGTGCAGAGCGGAGTCGCAGGCTTGGCATAAGAAAGCGTCGTCGGCAGCACAGTACCAACAAGCTCTCTTTTTAATGCAGCTGTCACACGCCCGGGCAGTTTTACCGCCGACGGCGTGTGCCACTTTCTTGCTAGAATTCATCAAAGAAAACAAAATTCAAAACAAAATCTGAAATCCCAAAAGCTTTTTCTGAGAAAGTAAAATAGTGTTAATTCGAGGGTAGCAACTGTGATAAAATGCACTTTTATATAAGTGAAGAGCGCAAGAAATAATTGGGGCGTAAGTGCGTGCCCCACAACCGGCGCTTTTACAGAGCATAAAACAGCGAAGACATCTCTTGGATATGCACCTTTGGGGAGGCTTATCTGTTTCCTAATTGGTCGAGTTTACAAATTCGATCCGAATCCCCGGCTTCCCATTGGCTACTTCTCCTCATTGACAGAAGAAATTTTTAGTTGTGACGGGAACATAAGTGGTACATCATGTGTTTTAATAAGAGTGGTGAGAAATTTTATTTTTTAAGTTATTAACTTTTTCGCACACATATCTCATCATTTATATAAATGACACGTGGTGTACCATCCCCGTATACTGGTCACACTGAAAAATCTCTTCATCGACAGATTTCTTGTTTCGTAGTAAATACGGGTTCCATCTATCACTTTCTTCTTACCCGAATTGTAAAATGACCGTTTTGTTAGTTTTTCATCCCTGCCCCCCACATAGTCCATCAGCACTAGTTTAAATTTTAGGAAAACTAATGAAAATAACTTGAAAACTTTGAGTTTTAACAATAAGGACAAAATAAATGGTAAAGTGAATAGTATCAGGATTGACTTGAAAACTTTGAGTTTTAGTGTAAAAATGTGATTTTTCGTTGAAGTGAACAATACCGGAAAAATAGAAGTTATAATCTAATTACTAACTTTCATGTTAGTTAGTTTACAAAATTTTGTCTGTAAATTTAGTTTCTCTGGTATTGCTTAAATCACAGCCTAACTCTAACAGTCAATTGTGGTATTGCTGCGTAAATAACTCTCAAATTCTATGCCGCTTTTGTCATTTAGATTACAAGTCAAGTTTGTTTAAAGGAAGTGATTTATCGAACTTTACGTCAATCACTGGGCCTAAGGCCCATATTGATCTGTAACATTTTAAGTTGGGCCAAGAACGCCTATTAACGATGGAAACCTGAGAACGTTAAGCTTTGAACTTTGAAGGGGCAACAAGGGCAATTTGGTCGTTGAGAAATCCAATCGCCTCGTTGGGTGTAGGGTTGGTTGGTAATCTGCTGAGCTCGTGCCCACCTCGTGGGCTGCATGAGTTATCTACCAACTTCAAAGATGCTACGTGTGAACGAATAATCAAACAAAAAATTCAGAGGACATGACTGTCTCTCGTTTGTTTTTTCTTTTTCTCTGAACCATCACTTTCTAACATCACTTGGTATATAAAAACATACCTTGACAAGTAAACCTACACAAACTTCCACAAAACCAGACGGAGAAGATGCCTGAATACTGTGTAACTGGAGGAACAGGCTTCATAGCTGCTTACTTAGTGAAAGCCTTGCTAGACAAGGGCCATGTTGTCCGCACCACGGTTCGAAACCCAGGTATCTATATTTGCAGTTATCAGCTACTTCCATCAATTTCACAATTTTTTCATGCATGCAAACGATGTTCTACTTTAAATGAATTTAAAGTTGAAGAAAAAGTGATTCGAACTAGGGTGCAATACGCTATAGCCAATATGACTACGCTCGAGTCCTCTCAGAATTTATAATTTTAGGTTGTCCCGTGATTCCATCTTTGTATTGATGACTGCAGTTCATGTAGCTAGCATTTACGGTTGGTAGTTTTTTTATCCTTTTGGTGACAGAGGATGGGGGGAAGGTGGGTTATTTGTGGGAGTTTAATGGAGCCAAGGAAAGGCTCAAGGTGTTGAAAGCTGATTTGATGGTGGAAGGAAGCTTTGATGAGGCTGTACGAGGCGTCGATGGAGTCTTCCACACTGCATCACCCGTTCTTGTTCCATACGACGACAATGTTCAGGCAAATTAGACTCTTCGTTTGATTTTTTTTGTTCTCCTTTCCCGTTGTTAAACTTCGTTTTATGTAATTCAATCATATTTTTTTATCGATGGGAGAAAACTTGAAGGCTTTCAAAACTGCAGAGTGCAGAGTGCTAAAATGTGGTACGTTCTTGAAAATATTCAAGCTAAAACGAAACTTTAATTGATTGATTGATTGCAGGCAAATTTGATTGATCCATGTATAAAGGGCACACTGAATGTTCTGAATTCATGCTCAAAAGCACGTGTGAAACGGGTTGTGCTCACCTCTTCTTGCTCTTCAATAAGATATCGTTACGATGCCCAGCAGGCCTCTCCTCTCAACGAATCACATTGGAGTGATGCTGAGTACTGCAAACACTACAATGTAACCACGTACAAAACCCTTCCAGTCCATGTTTAATTCCAGATGCATTATAAACAATAACACGTACATGTTGATTGACGTTGAAGTGCATTATTCATGTGTAAATTATTGTTTGTGTACAGCTCTGGTATGCTTATGCAAAAACTACAGCAGAGAAGGAGGCCTGGAGAATTGCTGGGGAGAGCGGAATGGATCTCGTTGTGGTGAATCCGTCGTTCGTGGTTGGTCCTCTGCTAGCACCACAACCAACCAGCACTCTATATATGATACTGGCTATACTGAAAGGTTGTACCACGTGACAATGTTCCAGTACCGAACAATTATTTGTCCAATTTGAGAATAAGGATATTGAATTTGCAATTTCTGCGATAGGTTCAAGAGGGGAGTACCCGAACACGACAGTAGGATTTGTGCACATAGATGATGTGGTAGCTGCGCACATTTTAGCAATGGAGGAAAGCAAAGCGTCGGGAAGGCTGATATGTTCGAGCTCGGTTGCGCACTGGTCGGAGATCATTAAGATGCTGAGGGCCAAATATCCATCCTATCCATATGAAAACAAGTGAGCATATATAAAAGGCAATCTCAAGCCAACAAGGCTTTACGCTTTCCAAGGGTTGGGGTGGAGCGTTAATCGTATATATATAGTTCCTAAATTTCCGTTGGTTTAATGTGGAAAATTATAAATGGAATTATCTATGTATTTTGCAGGTGTAGCAGCGTGGAAGGAGACAGTAATCCACATAGCATGGATACCAGTAAAATTGCTCAGCTGGGATTTCCACCTTTCAAAACGCTTGAAACAATGTTCGATGACTGCATCACTAGTTTCCAACAGAAAGGATTTCTATGAAAGAATCGCACAAGGCTTTGCTTTTGAGTGCGTTCCAAGTTTCGTTTTCTCGTTTGTGTTTTGTTATGTTCTTCTTTTCCTTTGATTTCAGTTAATCAAAAGGAAAGAGACATTCCTCGCTTTGATTTGAATCCAAAGAGAACAGTTAATCACGGTTTCTTCTTGTTTAGTCACAATTTTTTTATTTACATACATTACCATCTAAAATTCCAAATTACAAAATCTCATCAACTATCTTTTTAATAATTAAAAACGCATTTAAGCTTCTGGAGCTCACAGTAAGCACAACGGTGTTTCCGTTCTTTTTGGCACGTGAGTTTAAATTTCTTTGGCCGTGTTAGTGTAGTCTAAGATGCTTTAAAGAACCGTAACGTTAGTGGAGGTTCACTTTGAGACTTAATTAGGTTTAATGTCGTAATTAAGCTTAATGAGTTGGGGACAAAATTTAATCTTAGTGACTCATAACGCATTGGTTGAGGACAGCGACTGATTCCAGCGGCTTCTAATGTGCCAATAATTGGCCATCTTCAGTTTAATCCCCTTCTTAGATCTAGCTTTCGGTTAGTGTCCTTTCTTCAGTTTGGGGCGATGTTAGCGGCAGTTGCAGTGGTGGCAGCGACGGTTGCTGCCGTTGTGCTGATGGAGATTAGGATTTTGCTGTTGTCTTTTCTTACTTTGCCTACGGGCCTAAGTGTACGTGGGCTTCCCGTTATGTATTGGGTTGTTACTCTTCCTTTGCTGGGACCTGTTTTTATTTTATGTCTTATCTTTTTTATGTAGGGTTTTATATTTGTGTGTTTTGGTTAGATTTAGGCTTATCTTGCACGGATTGTAATCTTCTTTTCATTAACGAAGCTTTATTTTCGAACAAAAAAAAAGTGACTCATAACGCATTGGTTGAGGACAGCGACTGAATCCAAACATATAGCTTTATGGCGGCTTCTAATGTGTCAATAATTGGCTCTCTCTTGATTTGTCAAATGTAAAGTCCACTTGTGTATGATTTTGACTTGTTTAATCCCCTTAAGTTTGGCAAAATTAACAACCGGAAAAGACAATTACAACATATAAAATTTGATCGACCCACTGATGACGTAGACAACCAATAATACGTTTACTTACAGTATAGTGATGACCGTATGTGGTTGGGGATGAATTCTGGACTTCGTATTTTATGTGGTAGGATGGGGCAAGTACCGAATTCGATTCCAACGCATGTGAATCACACATGGGTGGACGGAGAGTGACTGAAATGTTTCTGTGATTCTTTCTGACCTTCAAAAGTGTGAATTGTCATAACAAATATGTTAATTGATTCTTTTAAAAAATAAATGTAGTGAGATATATTTACTTACCTGGAACAAATCTTTGTAAAAAATCATCTCTTGACAAATTTGTTTCTATGAGTCTTTTTTATCTTTAAAAATATAAACTGTCGAACGAATCCACTAATTGATTATTTTAAAAATATATATAAAGTTATGACATATTTACTTACCTAGAACAAGTGACAGTAAAATATCGTTCCTCGAATTGAAATAATCAGTAGAAGAAACAGTGGCACGTGATGTTAATGGGATTAGGATTCTCGCCAGATCTCCTACCTGGGAATCCTAAGGATCAACGCATATGGATCGTTGATAAAAAATCGTGCGGCCATAAATTTTTCTTTTTTTATATTTTTTTACACAAAATAAAATTGTTTTACTTTTAAAAATATTAAAAACATTTAATCGGGCCGTATGATTTTTTATCAATAATCTAATTACGTTGATCCTAAGATTCCTAGTGAGGGGATCCAGCGAGGAGTCAAATCTATGTTAATGGATCTTCATGAGGACCAAGTAAGCAGACGCATTGAAGCTGTGTCAGCAAACACCCATTGGTTTGGTAAATGAGGACCGAAGGTGGCTGGGTAGAGCAATTGGAGTACAGCTAGCTCAAGATATGCTTTGTTTGGCAAAAGAAATCCAACCCAGGCCCACCACTTCTGTTACAACCTTCAGTATGTTTTCACCCGGAAGGATCATCTCCGGATTCTCTCGTAGGATCAGGAGAGGATCCTCAAATCCTCAAATCCTATAAAGAGGATCCGGAAAGAATTCTTATTCCGTTTTCACCACAACAAAGAAAAGAGAGACTCTCGTACCTCAGCTGTGACATTTCATTCTAATATATTACAGCTCACAATTGTCGAGAAAAATTAACAAAATATTGTATCACTGATTCAAGACGTCATGGTAACATTCCTTGATATGAAACGTTCCGATCAATTATCCCACACAATGTTAACATTTCAGGATGGTGAAAACCAATTATCCAATGCCATTCCATTCGAAATTCAAACACACATCGATAATGTGTGTTAGATTTAAGACACCATCGCCTTGGTCTAAGTTACACGGAGGTAAAGTAATAACTACGTAAAATATGGGTCACCACCTACCTTGATATCAAATAACTCTAGTCATAACTACCGAAAAGACCTGAGAATAAAGGGAGGCACGGGTTTTGTGCTCCTTTAGGTACCGTTTGGTGTGCTTAAAAACTGCGGAACGGGTTATTTCATGGGACGAAATTTGGCTGATTTTTCGTTCCAACTCTTCCTCCTGGAACGACCCGTTCCACATTCGTGGAACACAAATTTATAACATTTTATGACAAAATTTCTCCTTATCTTTTTCAATATTTACATCATCTGTTCCGTCCTGTTCCGTCTCGTCCCGTCCCTTCCCATCCCGTTCCGTCCCGTCTGCGTACTAAACGATACCTTAAGGATTTGGATCCTCTCCGAGGCAACTGGTCAAGATCCTCCTAATCAATGTTAGTAAACCGTTAAACTGGTCAAGATCCTCCTAATCAATGTTAGTAAACCGTTAAATTTTTATGCAACGATTACAAACAGAAATGCCCTCTAAAAATTATAATAATTATAACCGTTAGATAAAAATCCAACACTCTACAAACACTGGTCAAAAGGATCCCGACCAGTTGCCTCGGAGATGATCCAAATCCCTCCTTTAAAGGATAGCAATCCACGGATTTGAATCCTCTCCGAGGCAACTTGTTGGGATCCTCCTGACCAATGTTCGTGAACCGTTAGATTTTATCCAACTGCTATAAGAAGATCCCTCTATTTATAACCGTTGGATCAGCAATCCACGCTCATAAAGCTCCATGAACAACTCCAAGCAGAAACCATAAATGAAAATACAAATCAAACTTCCAAAATCCACTGAGCATTTTAAATTCTTTGCGGAAATTAGGTAAAGTAATTAGACTAAATAAGGAGAGATTGGGTAAAGTAAAATTCATTGCAGAAGCTTCATAGTACATTACCACATCAGGGAGATAAAAGAGAGATGATAACGTTAAACCCTTCTACGACAACAAATCAGATCGAGAACCCTTTGGACGGCTCTGATAGCACAAGAAAACCCAAGGATTCACACTTAACACTACAACGCTTATGCCGCAAATCACCATCTTAATCTCTCTTTAAACACAAAATAATTAAACTCTCACATAATTACCACTCTCACTCGAGAACTCCATGTGTTACTTGAGAGTTCATGATATTACGCCTAATTGCTGCAAAATCATAAACAGAGATTTAACTAAAGAGAAGCTGCAAAATTTATTGGCATACTATGTTGAGGGGTTCATCCAACCAGCAAGCAATGTCATCCTTGCCAAGATCCTCAAAGTCACAGTCGGGTAGACTGCTCGGCTCATCGCTTTCGAACCCGGGAATCTGTATATCCTCAATGCTGCTGTAATTGTCGAACAACTGCCCAAAATCCTCCAGGTAAAGCGAATCGAGCTCCGGTCCCAAGTTTAGCTCTGGATCAAAATGAAGAGGGCCCAATGTCTCATCAAGTAAACCCAAATCGGGTATTTGCAGCTCTTCAAGATTTGTCGACTCATCGGCAATCTCCTTCTCCAAATCAGCACCATTCCGAATGTTATTGGAAGCAGATGTCTCCAAATCAAGCACACAAGAAGGAGAGCTCTGAGAGACGACAGAGTCAGAATCCTCAGACGAAACAGGTTCAACGTTGTTGTAGGAATTCTGGTTGGAAACGACAGCTGAAGCTGAGGTAGCAGCTGCCAACATTTCTTCAAATTCGAGCCGCTTGGCCTCATAAGCCTTTGAGGCGTCCTCCGCAGTGTTGAAAGTACCAAGCCAGAGACGAACCCCTTTGAAAGGATCACGAATCTCAGCAGCCCATTTCCCCCATTTGCGCTGCCTCACGCCTCTGTAAGGAGAAGAGGACTGCCGGTGGGACTTGGTGAAAGTCGCCTTCTTGCTGGGTTTTGGGGTTCTGACTCCATTGCTGTCTTGACTTGAGCTCTCTTGCTCAGCTGTGCCCGGCTTCGGGTGCGCGGTTGGGCAGAAAGTAATTTCACGAACGAAGCGTTTTGGGTTGTTGGGAAATCTTCTCTCTCTTCCTCCTTCGTCCTCGCTTGAAGATGAGTCATCAGTGGCGTCGGGATCGTAACAGATAATGCGAACTTTCCTCATAATCTTGGACTGGTGATCAGGAAATGGTTCTCTCTTGGACTTTCTCATTCTGTTTCGCTGTTTCCGAGGCACAGCCATTTTCAGAAATTAGTTTCAGAAAATGGCTAAAATCTTCTAAACCCCTCAAAAATACCCAAAAACAAAATTTTAAAAAAAAATTGAGATGTGAGTTTGAGATGTGAGTGGTATCAGGTTAGATCCCCTCTCAGGAATAAGAAGAGGGAAGAAAATAGTTTTATATGAAAAGCCCCAAAATATTGCGATCCAGAACAAGTCCTGCATATTTCCAAACAAGAAAGAGTAAGATTTTGAAAAATACAAAATAAAAAATCCACAAGGGTTTAACAAAGATTTAGAGAGATTAACCAAAACCCACATACCTTTTTGGTCTCAAACTCATCGAAACGGGTCGAATCACCGGGTTGAATCTCTGCCGGAAAAAGCAGAGAAGCATAAAGCAGACGGCAGAGCAAGCAGCAGTAAAAATCCAGAGCTTCGACGGAGCCCCAATCACCACCAAATCAAAGCTAGCCGACATAAAATCTCTCCACGCAGCCTCCTTCACACTCCTCCGTTCCTCAGAGAAAACCCGAATCTAAAACCTTCTGTAAAAATCTGTGTGAAATGCTGGAGAGAGCAAAAGCAGCAAAGGAAGACTATTAGGGGCAGAGTGATAGCAAAGATATAGTCGCTGCAAAACCCCAAAAGCTTCCCACTTTCGTGGTCAAGTTGGAGAGGATTAAGAATCTATGGCCACGATTTAACGAGACAGGAATCAGAGAGTGGTCAAATTGTTTTCATCGATTTCTACAGAAACATAAAAAAAAATATTAAAACATAAAAAATGACCACACTCTCTGATTGAACATAAAGATTGAACAACGCAAATCTCTATAAAATTAATTATCGAAAAATCCCAGAAACAAAAATTAAATAAAATATTCAACAATTTGAAGAAACCTTTGTGTTGCTTTCTCGCTCCTCAGTATTCTATCCCTCCTCACGTCTCTCTGCCTGCCTTCCAGATTCAGTGTTGGCTTTTCTCTCTGCTTCACTCTCACACTCTCGCCATGCTGCTTTTTCTCTATGCGGTTAAAAAATTCATTTAAAAACAGAGATGGCGAGCGTGTGAAAATAAATTTATAATATGTGGAAAAAAGAAAAAAAAAACTAATTTTGGAAATTAATAAAGGACATGGATCCTCTCTCTCACCAAGTCACATCATAAATTTCAATGGTCCCGAATGTTACGACTTGGTAGATTAGAACTAATGCATCCGGAGATGATCCATGTCCATTAATAAATACTATTTAATTAAAAAAAGTTGTGGTTGGGCGCCCATCAACATACATGATGCATGACCCTACCATCCCAGGTTCATGCATATCACCCCCGAGTCCTTCGTCGTACTGCCTCTCGCCAGCTGTGTTCCAAACTGTTCAATCGTACGGCTCTGGATGGCCTATCTCAGTGGGGTTAGGTGGGAGCGTCAGTCACGCAGTGAATTGGCTCGGTTCCTGAGAGAATTTCCAGGCACGCGCCTCGGACGGGCGTGGTAGACTCTGTGGATTTTTTAGGAATTGGATCCTATGATGAACGCACACAAACTGTTGATAAAAAAGCGTACGGTCATAATTAAATATTTTTTATATTTTTTAAAGTAAAATAGTTTCATTTTGCATCAAAAATATAAAAAACAAAAAAATTATGGCCACACAACTGTTGATCAACGATCAATGTGCATTGATCTCTAGGATCCCAGGAAGGGGATCTGGTGAGGATCCAAATCCGGTTTTTTACGGGGCAAACGCAGCGCCGCGAGTCGGCAAAAGCGTATTTCTTGTGTTGTAGAGCGGTTGTTTAGGTGCCAAAATAGGAATCAATATTTGTCATATATCTCCTAATTAATAAAACACTTATTTCAACTAAAATTATATAAAATTATCAGTTTAATCATCTAATTAAAACATAATATGAATAAGAAATATGGGGCAGAAATGTAATTTCATACAATCAAATCTTTTTTTTTTTTTTCAAAACTCCACCTACATGTAATTCTAACATATCTCTAATTAAAAAATAAAAAAAAATAAAAATTCCACTCCCACATTCTCTATCACTTCATTCCTCTCTCCCTATTTCAAAAACAAAAATAAAAAAATTTCTCACACACTTTGTGCGTTCCAAAATGCTTGTGAAAAATATAAAAAAACTATTTTAAAATTGAAATTTTCATGAACTCTCTAATTTACAGTATTAATACGAAAATTGTGTCAAATACAAAATCACGGAGAATACACAAAAAGCTCTACTTTCTTTTAGAGATTTGCTTGCTCTAGATTATTGTTGTTTTTTTTAGGTAGGAAGTTGGTTTTGCATTTTTCTTGACCATGATAATTCTGAAAATCTGGACCTTATAAATTTTATGAGTGAATCGATTTGACAAAAAAGTAAAAACCGGGTGTAGAGTACTTAATTAGAATTTTGGAGTTTAAATTTTAAGCTTATTTTCATCCTTCACACACTTTTATTATTTTTCGTCCTTGATTTTCTTAATTTCATTTGATCTCACTATAGAACATTAAGTTACCATGTGAGAAATAAAACTGGATGTACCCTCCCCCCCCCCCCAAACACTCTCCAACCCATGTTAAAATTTTAGGCTAAATGCCAAATGTTATTTCTCGGCCAAATACCCCCTATGCCAAATGTTATTTCTCGCCAAATACCCCCCAGCTTTCCCCCGGGCTAAATGCCAAATGTTTATCGGAATTTAAATTTTTTTAAATTAAAATGTTCATAAAATTAATTTACAATAATCTACATATTTATTTAAAAAAATTGATTTAAGAAAAAAAATTAGCCTAAGTTCATTCTTTAATAATTCCGGTCTAAAATTTTAGGACAGAATGATTGGAGTAGAAAAGATGTTTCTAGGCTAAAAGCCAAATTTTCCGGGCTAAAAAATCTGGCTTTTAGCCCAAGGGTTGGAGATGGTCTTAGACCATCTCCAAACCTGGGCTAAAAGCCGAATTACCTCCCAAATTACCCCCCCAAACACTCTCCAACCCATGTTAAAATTTTAGGCTAAATGCCAAATGTTATTTCTGGGCCAAATACCCCCCCAGCTTTCCCCCTGGGCTAAATGCCAAATGTTTATCGGAATGTAAATTTTTTTAGATTAAAATGTTCATAAAATTAATTTACAATAATCTACATATTATTTTTTTAAATTGATTTAAGAAAAAAAATTAGCCTAAATTCATTCTTTAATAATTTCAGGCTAAAATTTTAGGGCAACAGGGTTGGAGCAGAAAAGATGTTTCTGGGCTAAAAGCCAAATTTTCCAGACTAAAAAATTTAGCTTTTAGCCCAAGGGTTGGAGATGGTCTAAAAGCCAAATTTTCCGGATTAAAAAATTTAGCTTTTAGCCCAAGGGTTGAAGATGATCTTATTAATTTGAAGTTAATTAGTTAACATATTTTCTTCGTCAAATAATTATCAGTCAACTAAGTTGTGTTGACGGAGAAACTTATGCCAAGGAACGTCAATTTAAATGTCCCATCCGTAAAAACTAAAAACACAAATACCATCATAGCACTAAGAGGCACATTATCTACGCTCCTGTTTAGATGTTCCTTTCTGAGGTAGATTCTCTTATCTCTCACTTTTTGTGTCCTCTTATATCCTTCTGTTTTGTGTAATCACGATTAAGCTACATTAACATTATATATGTTTTTTATAAAGATAATAAGACAAAAAAGAATAGTAATATAAAATGTTGACGTGGCTTAACCGTGATCCTATAAATAGGAGAGCATGGAAAGCAAGAGGGCAGAGAATCTACCTCCGCTCTTTCCATCCCTTTTTATTTGTGCGGTCACGGTTAAGGCATTTCAATATTTTATATTCTTAATACCTTTTGTCTTATTATCTTTATAAAAAAATTAAATTTTAACGTGATTTAACAATGACCGTACAAGATAAAAGGAAATGAGAAAAACATCCAAACAGGAAGGCAGGCAATCTGCCTCTATAGCACTGCCCTCGTTTCTACAATTTATGGGTCCCAGCGAAGAGCGCGCACACAGCACGTGACAATGTGGAGACCGATTTTCTAGAGGAGCAAAAGTTGATCCGACGGTCCGTAGCATGTCTGCTCAAGAAAAAAATGACGCATGTACTATTTATGTCCCACTCCCCAAGCAACCATGGACTTTTGACAATGGTAGTAGGTAACAGTCTATTACACTAAGGGCACTGTCCAATACCTCTATGACTAATATTCCACTTAAGCCTAGTTAATATACATGATTACGACTAATTTGATGGAAATGAATCATCTCCGGATCTATTCATCCTAATTCATCAAATTAGAGAATTCGTGCTATTGAAAATTGATCCAACGATTACGAATAGGGGCTCATTTTAAAAATTATAATAACTTTAGCAATTGGATCAAATTTCAACAGCACGAATTACCTGATTTGATGGATTAAGAGATCCTCATTTGATGTCCTGATTAGCTCAAATGATTCGCTTCCTCTATAACATTTAGCCAGATGCTTGGGTTTTAGTGTATTTGTTTCTTTTAAACAAAATGATATTTCATTAATAGAAAATAAACACGTTAATTAAAATTTAAATTATATCTCAATTATCATCAACTATGTCGTTTGTTTGAAAACTTGGTTTAAAAATTGAGTAATGCTACGTAGACTAAATTTGCAAATTAAATTACATGTCAAGAAAATAAGCACATTAACTAACACTTCAGTAATAATCTAATCATTAACTTTCTTATTATTTAATTTACAAAATTTAATTCTTTTAGCATTAAAAATTTAGTATCTCTAACAGTGCTATAGTGTAAAAAAAAACACAATGACGAGTGAATAATGTGAAGATGTCTCACATCAAAACAATAATAACAAAACTTATTCCACTAAATGAGATGAGTTGTATAAATCATATAATGCTACAATCCTTATCGCAATTTCTGTGCCTCCCATCAAAAGTCTAAAATTTTGCATGTCTTAAATAAATTTGAGTTAGTCTTCCATCCAGATTCAAATTGTAGGGATCTTAGGAATTCTTACATGGTAATTGTTTATTGTATATTATATGATTATAAATTATTTTAAATTTATTATTTAAAATTAAATATAAATAGTATCTAAAGAAAACTGACTGTATGATGTATAATGAACAATCACGATACGAGAATCCCTATAATTCCTATAAAAAGAAACAAAAAATGATCCTCATCCAATATTCATTATAAAGGTCAAGTATCATGTAATGTGTATGAAGTGCAATGCATGGACATGATGGCATGGCATGTATGGTGATGTTCATCATGATGTATATGTCCATGGAAATGACGCATGCAAGTTGACCAAAAAGTAGATGTCAGGGATGGTCAAGTGGGCTACGCAACTAGCAATGGGTGGACCGAAGTCCGGCTCGCCTCCGTTTCCCGCCAAGGGTGCCCACAATCCCTCTTTTTCCCGCCAGAACACCCATTTTGCCTGTCTGCCCCGAACCAGATGCTGCCACGTGTACTGCGGGGAGACAAGTGTCTTCGCGCGCTTGGGTCGTCCCGCAACTTTTAGGAAAGCCCGTGCATCGCCCACCTTTTCCTGTAGCTCCCTATTTGCAATATTTTGTTTTTGGCCTGAGATTTGGATAATTGGATATAGGTCCTCAGTATTTCTAATTTTAAGCAATTTCAGAAAGAAATTGTTATTAGTATTTCAAAAATTTCAATATACATTTCGCAAATGTAATTTTTTTTTTTGTAATTATAAAAAAATTGAAGTGTTAAATAAGATTTTTGAAGTGCTAATAACAATTCCCCTTTCAGAATTTCGTTCCATTGGTGGCAATTTCAGCAATAGGAGTATGCTTTTATTTGTTATGTTTCTTAAATAGACGTAAATACTATGTTATGTTTTTATTTTTGTTTGTTGATAAGTGCATTGTTACAGCAACATCATTGCTAGAAATTCACATGTTAGTCTGTACGATAAATAAGGTTTTAAAACTCGTTAAATGCTAGCCGAGCGGTGGACTAGGGTCTAGAAGGAGTAAGCAGATTTAAATAAATTTATTATATAT